TTTACGTGTACATGTAAAGTAGCACCTTAGTTCTGAGACCGCTCTTTTTCAGTTCTCTTATGTATGACGGGTTGCTGTTTTGTGGTGATAAACGAAAGAAAAGGCAAATCAGATTGGACCGTTACACGGTATTGAAATAAATGAGCTTTGAAATATACATAATGAAATACCTCAAAGGGCATATACTGACAATTTTAATGCATGATTTGTATTCATTAAATCGTCTTTAATTTTGTCTTCAATTTTCGCCAAAAATTACTAATTACGACTTTTGGCCATATAACTCATCCATTTATGTATATTACTATTTTCATTTGGCCAAAATCTATCGATTACTGCTTTTAGAAAACTTTTCTAACGATTTTTTCCTTGTATTACATATAACAATACATATAAAATCTTTTTTTCAAGTCAAAATTCGACGCCATCTCCGTCATATTATTATCTAAAAAACTACAAGGGTTTTGAAAAATATTTCATCGTATTTATTGAAGATTTTTAGTGCTGTTAAAACTCCATTTCTGATTTAAGAATCAATTTTGAAAAAAACACATCACGTCATCTCCGAAGCCCTTTTTATCAAACTACTTTTAGTATTATTTCTTGTTGTTTTTTCATAAGTTAATGATTATAAATTATAACGGGGTAGATATTTGCCCGCGTTATTTCGCGAGAGATCAATAAATATTTTATACAGCTCGATGCGGGCGTACGACAAACGCACGAAACTATGCCCGGATACTTAGTTACGCCTTAAGGCCCGCGGGAGCGTCGTGGGTTCAGTAGCTGGTCTTCAAGTTAATTCACCGACGGGAAAAGCGTGGAAAGTGGTAGAGTCAGGTGTAAATGAGAAAATAGGTTGCATAAAATAAATGACATTTATACAGCTCGTAGGTTTACATAGAAAGCAGCACGGCGATAAAGAGAGAGAGAGAATAACTGGCTAGCGAGAGAGAGACAAGGTACACAAGTAGGTACTTACAAATGCGCACGAGACCACGGATGAGCCTTATCAAATGCTTGAATACAGGGGGACGATCGGCTAGCTTGCACCGGAATAGTCCCACACACTAACTTGCAACACTGTGCACTATTTACGGTGGGAAGTCTCTCCTTTCTACTGCCGCTGGGCCAAACTAAAACGTCTCAATGAAGATAAGCAATATCTTGACTTCTTTTTGAAAGCCGGCCGGCAGGAGCACGTGTGTTTTTGGCCGCGATCCTCAAGCTAATGTCGCGGGAGCGTTCCCCACTCTCTCTCCCCTACTCTATCGAGCCTAAGTCGGTTCCTGTCGCGCGGTCGTCTCTCCCTCGCACGTTAGCGCGCCTTCGGTTTGGATCGGCACGAGCTTATCCTTCCTCTCGCTAGTTCGCGTTGCAAATTAAGTACAGTCAAACCTCTGCTACTGCACCCTCCGCAACTGCCCGACCTCTGCCACTGCCCGTTACCTAGCCTCTCTAACTGCCCGATTTATGACTCGAGCGCAGTGTCGTACGCTCTCGGTCGCTTACCTGGCACCTGCCGGCGGCGCACTTTTATGGGTCTGACGCCGACGCGTCGCTCTTATATCTTGCATATCTTCAAGTATAAGATGACTCCTTGTAATTTGTGACTTATGATTTACACTCCTTGTAATTTATGACTCTTGTAATTTGTGGGGGGGGGGGGGGATATGTACCTAAATTTGTAACATTTTCTCCGGGCCCCCCTCGAGACCAGCGCGGCACGCCACTCAATACCCGTACCTGACGGAGCGCTCTTATTGGCTAACGCCAGAGAGCCCGTAGCGGGCAGTGGCGGAGGGCACCAACTCCCGAAAACGTGCAGTAGCAGAGGTCCGACTGTACTCTCTCTCTCTCTCTTACCTCGTACTCCATTGTCTGCTGCGGCAGCCACTTCTAGGCTTTGTACGTAAAATTACATAAATTAATATAAATATAAGTATATAAGTGTATATATATAAGAGTGGTTGTTTGAGAGAGAGAGAGAGAGATATAACGAGTGGTTTATCACACGTTATAAAATTTATAATAAGAGAAATTAATAATATTCTTAACTTTAATTCTTATTTTTATATTAACATGAGAAATCAATAACATACTCAACTTTAATTCTTATGTTACATTGTAGAAAAATATGAGAATGTAAAAAATATGACAAAAAATACCATGAAAGCAAATGTTATTCTTTACGTAGTAATTCAACTGTAAGTAATTCAAATTAATTTTGTATGATTTTTAACAAAGGCTTCGGGGATAGCACTTAACAATATTGCATTATTGACTATAATAAATGAAATAAGAATTTATAATTTTGCGCAACTGAGATTATTTTACGTTAGGTGTATTAGAAGCTATTTGTGCGAAAAAATCGACAATTAATTATACGAATTTTTTTGGTTTCAAAAAATGTCAATCATAATGTAGGTTTTCATTAGAATATCCCATATAAGCAATGCGATAAAAATATTTAGGGTATAGTTATATTGCTTATATTGTACATAATGTGATCAAGTGTCGCGGTAGCAACACGCAGGCGAGTAGGTTATGAAATAACTGCGAACTGCGGGCGCACCTTACACTATATACAATACATTGGCTAAAAGAGGGCGTGGCCAAAAGCATTTTTCATCGTTTCATTATTTTCACGAGCGATATGGGCATGTATTATATGGTAGAATCGATCATTGAGATTACCATCTTTCATTTAAAAAATGTTTTAGTTCGATTGATACAATTTTCACAAAGTTATTCGTAAAACAAGATTTTTTGATAGTTCACTGTCTGAGCAGCTTTTTGTCCTACCAATTTTTTTGTCTCACGCGTATTATACGCATATCCCATGAGTATTATACGTACGCGTAATACTATGTTATACGCATATTCAGTGTCCCATCTATCTCATGTCTCATGTACATACGTTTATGTATGTATATGTATATGTGTTTGTGTTTTTTTGTTTGATTTGTTTGTGTGATTTTTTTGTTTGTGTGATTTTATTTTATAATAAATACTTCAAAACAATACTACTCGAATGCAAAACTTTCCAGTACCAGTAAACAAATGTATACCTCCCTTCGGATTGACCTTTGACTAATGTATCATAAAGTGAATTTCAAAAAATGATTGAAAAAAATGGAATTGTTAGTATTTTGAACGGAGCATCATGAAAAATATTGTCAGCATAATCAAAGATCATAATAAAAGAGAGCATAATGAAAGATATCGTAGTTATTCATTTTTGTGTTGATTTTTGTATTATTATATTATATTATATTTATATTTATATATATTTATGAATTCCTTTATTTACAGATTAATACGAATCAATTATTATTATTATTATTATTATTCTCTTGATTGTCTGGGTCATCGTCATTTCTGTTAGGCACGTAAGTGCACTCCTTTGCCATATTCCATAGAAATGTAGCCATGCGACTGGCATTACGCCTCATCTGAGAGTTCACAGCTGCATAGGGAGTAGTACCTATAACGATGAACAATTTGTTATAGGTCAAATTTTATTGTATAAAATATAATATAATATATATATTACAATTAAATTATATAGGAGGATGTCATATAAAATAATATCAAAACTTACGTCTGTTATTATTGCGGTTTCTGTTTAGTCTCATAACTGAACCTTGCATGGGCACATTATTTTGCTGGTTTACAGGGATGTTTTGCAAAGGCCCTGCAAAATTATTTGAAAGAAATTTCTTTAGTATAAGTTTGAGCCACTAAATGAGGACATGAATTCGTTGCTTACCTAATTGTTGTCCAGCAAAACCAGCATTCTCAACAGCACGACCAGCATTATTTGGGACAGCATTTCTGTTAGCTGTATTAAATAGAATAAAAAATTGTAAAAAAAGTTTTGCAGATTCTATTGTTACAAATTATTATAAAAGAGCAGCCGTACAAAAATGTATTATTACTTATATACCTTGAACTTGGTCATTGACTTGAGCTTGCACATTTGGTATTGCCGGATCGTTTGGAATTCCTTGATTTGCATGTCCAATTTCATTGAGTTGTTCAGGATGATGAACATGATGACCAATACCATCATTTTGATGTACATGTAAATGCTCATTGTCAACTCCAAAAATCACAGGATGATCCTGAATCTGCTGCACTAAAATTTATAGAAAACAGAACTAATTTATTTGTGCACAGTTTAGATGAGAATAAGTTTTAAGCTTGGTCATATAAATAAAACATATATGAAAAATCTATTGGTTTAAGGGAAAAAAATTAAATACGCATACCAGGTACTTGAGCATTTTCTTGTAAGTTCGGTGGACGAATTTGAACTCGGTTTTGCTGTCCATTACCAGCTCTGGCAAGTCTTTCCAATTCTTCATTATGGTTATCAATATCCATTTGTTGAAAATTATCTGCAAAAAATAGTATTGATCTGCAAAAAATAGTATTGATAGCAATAAACAATGAATAAAATGGAAACGTCAGATAAAATTATTTCTAGATTACTATATTTACTTATATTATTCAAATCAAAAAGTATTGTAAATGAATTCAACTTTTTCATATGTAGCATATTAAACTAAAAACTAAACTATTACAAAATTGAATAACAATAACCTGCTAGATTGTTGTTTTGATTGTCTTCACCTAATAAGGCATTTATTCGAGCAACTTCATCCATTTTTTGTTGTTTGTTAAGTTTATAAAAAGCTTTCTAATTCACTGATAAAATTAAAGATTTAAGCGGTTTCCAGTATTTAATATTAATACTAATTGCCTTTTTGCTTCACGAATTGGCGATTCTAACTTATATAAATTAGCCCTAGTCTTGATCACATTTATCTTTAAACAAGTTGACTCTCGCAAGATTTTTTTACCATATTTTAGCGTCAAACCGAAATTTGCAGGTAACCTTCGCTTGTCAAAACAACGTGTACAAGCACGATCGAGAACAATTGACGTATAGCTCTAAATAAATCCGCTAGGAATGTTCACATCACCTTTTGAATATACCGCTTATACACGTGATTTTTTTTTAATTTGCTATGAAAACTTAAAGTGGGTATTTTTTTGTATTATTTTTATCTATATCGATTTCCTTCAAATTTAGCTCGATAATTAAAACAAAATTAGTTTTTTTCTACTTACATACAGTGTCTTTATTAATGATTTGTATTTAGATTTTTTTATTACTGCTGATAAGTTACTTTTACAGTATAATTTCAATTTTTCCTCATATTTAGAATTTTTTTCACATTATTGTTTACAAACATTTTTTTATAAAGATTTAGAAAACACACCATTCTGAAATTTTTTTTATCTCAATACTACTGTTTTTTTACAAAATAATAAAAAACCTGGAAAAATAAAAAACATACTGTTATTATCAATTACATACTATTTTAATGAATGGCTATGCTTGACTCATTTTTTCAACTCACATGATTGTTTTTATTAGTTTAATATTTCATGTATTATGTCTGGAATGACATTCATTCAACAAACTCCACAAGAAGATAGAGAAGCTTTTGGCGTGGTGATATTCTTTAGTAATTTTGCCAGCTCGAGTTCCTCTAAAGGATTTACCTGAAACAAAAGAGTTCATTTTCAACTTAATTAACATATTTTTTTAAATATTATACTAACAAAAGACATTCAATAGTTAGAAAGTCACAAGTTAGATAAATTTATCCATCTATAGTATTATATAAACTTACGGTTATTATATGAATTAGTTGAAGATAAATTACTTGATGATTGACTAATCTGTATCAAAGAAGTAGATCTCGTTGATGGATTCTGATCAAACAGATTGGAGCTTGATATTGGAGCATTCCCTTCATTAGAATAAGTTTTTGATTCTAAATTAGTATCTAGATGGCTAGACTGTACCAAAGAAATATCTTTTGATGGAATCTGAGATAGATTGGTGCTTGGTGTTGGAGCATTCTCTCCAGAAGAATTTGTGGATTCAACATTAGTCTTCAGAGTTGTTGTATTAGTGCACTCTCGTGCCAATGCCAAAAGAAAACTTTCCATCCTTCTAAACTACGTTTTCTGTTTGGCATGTTTACCTCCTCTAGTTCCTCGTGTTTTTTTGTCTTGACGTTGCATATTTAGCTGCAAATAAATATGACCATGAAAACTACATAAGTTTTTTCAATTTTTTTGCAATATAATGAGCAAGTCATATTAAAACAATAAATACTGATAACTTGACTTGATTAATTTTAAAGAAATATATTGCAAACAAACAATTAATTTCAATTTTTTAAAACAAATAATGCACAAATATCCATGATTGAAATATAAGAATGTCACTGCAATCATGACAGATCTGAGAGCATTAAGTAAATAATCACAACTGATTATAAATATATTTTATAAACATGTTTTACTTGGTACTAAAATTCGTGTGATCTATTTATACTTACTACTACTAAAAATTAGAATATTTTATAACTCTTCAAAAATTTTATTCTGCTGAGTGGCAAATAAAATTTTATGTATACGTACACATACATGTACATTGCCTAACCTAATAAAACAAATCACAACACATGCGTGTTAGTGATGTGAATCGAGTTTAAAAAATTACCAAAAAAGTTGCCAAAGAAATTTCGTCGATAATTTAATCGTTAGCTCATCCAGCGAAGCAACGGCATTCAGAATAAAATTTTACATTAATCAATCAAAAATTCAACAAACAATCAACGACATAAGGTTTGATAAAGTGCATATCACACTTCGGCAAGTTCCTCACTTCAGACCGCTCGCTCTCTCCAGCATCTACTTACTGTATATAGTGTATATTCCATGGCGGTGGCATACACATGTGTCAAATCAAAATTAAGGAGCAAAACAAACAGCAATCCGTCTTCTTACTTTTAACATTCTTGAAAATACGTAGCCGTTATTTTGGCGACAATCAGTGTGCTCTGAGTATTCGAGTATGTATTTTTCGATTATATAGTAGAATAATAATTTTTGCAAGTTCGGTGAAATAATGACAAATATATCTATGATTTGCAGATTTGTGGTCTTGAGAAAGCTGTTCATCCATCCATCATTCAATTCAGATAAATCTGTTTGTTGGCCTTCTGGTCTTGTCAATAGTTCAGTGAGTAAAGCAAAATATAAATAGCCAATTTTATAAGCAATCCCAGCTGAAAATAGTAATTGGATATCTATTTATAAATACATGCATGAACGATATTTTTATCAATTAATAAATATATTTTCCTTGATCAATAGAAGAATATTTTATACTTACATTAAAAATAACACATCTAAATTGAAAATGTAAATTATATATTATTCAGCATGAATAACCAAACAAAGTTACGTATATGAATGTACTATTAACAAAAGCATACCTTTATTTCACAATTAATCACATCATTGTCTCAATTGCCATAAATTATCATCAAATCAAGATACGACAGTTTAATGATTTTTTTATGATTGACCATATCAATGGACAATGTCAGGGTCCGTGAAGGATTTATAATGAATAATTAATACTGAAGCCAATGGGACAATACATACAGTAGATTTCAATGGTTCATTGATAAAATTGTCAAAAAAAGTTACAGCAACTCAATGTCTCACTCACTTCAGGATCAATTGTTGATTAAAAATCCTTCACGGACACTGACATTGTTTATTTTTGGTAAGTCATACAAAAATGATTAAGTTGACAAAATTTGGCTTGGCAATTCATGGCAAATATGAAATGTACCACTGATAAAAGCATACCTTAATTCTACAATCGATCACATCATCACCTTATTTGCAATGAATGGCCAAATAAAGATACGTCAACATGATTATTTTTTTCATAACTTACCAACAATAAAGAGTGTCAGGGTCCCTGAAAGCTTTTTAATGAAATATTAATCTCAAAGCCAATGGGACAATAGAGTAGGTTTCAATGGTTCATTGACAAAATTTTCAAAAAAGTAACGGCAACTCATTTAGGAGCTAACATTTTTTGGTGTTGAAATTGAATATGTAAAACTTTTGCATAAAAGTAATGCAATGCTTCAAAATGATTACTAACCAATTTCCAAATTCTATATACCTGCATCTTTTTTTCAGATTTTGAGACAAGTAATTACAAAAGAAAAAGGAGTACTTCGAAGGTACAGAAGTGAGTATAATGTTTTTATATATAGTTACCATGAAATTTGTTTTTCAACAATAATTTCATAACAACTTTTCATTGTTGATTTCATAATAAATTTTCATTATTGATTTGGTATCTTTGAAAATCACAGTTTCCACGTACCGCAGGATACCACTTCATCAATAATACTTCATTTTTCAAATTTTCAAGTATATCTGTTTTTAATACTATATGCATTGAATTACTTTTTATTATTCGCTACTATGACGTTAATAAAATATGAATATTTTACTTTCTTCTTTAAAATATTTCCTCTCTGATTATTTATATTCTTGTGAAATTACAGGTACCTTGTATAGAACAGTAGAAACCGATATTGGTGAGTTTGGTAATAAAATAAGGCTGCTAAAAGCGCCGAATATGAGGCTGCTAATAGCGCCAAATAAAAAGCTGCCTAATGCGCTAAATCCAGGCTGCTTTAAGCGCCAAATACAAAATAAAAAAACTGAACACTGTGCAATATTTATCATAATTAGATATTTTATTATTGCAACCTTTGGCCCTTACCCCACACACCTTTCCAGAAAGGTAAAAAACCGGCAGGCGAGTAGGTATTGGCATCTCATTAACATCTAGTGTCTAGTAACAATATTTATTCTAATGAATATTTATATCGCTATTATTTCTTCACTATGTCCAATATGGATGTCGATTCCATGATTCAAGAGCATTCTTGCTGCATGCATTTATGAAACTGAAATTGTTTTCAAGCTACAATGTATGTGAACGAAATACGATCCTAATAATCCACTCAAGAAAGGTGAATCTGCATTAATCTTAAACTAGAGAAAATTGTGAAATCAATTTTATACAGGCAAGTAGATTTTTTCTCGAACTTGATTTCAAATAGATTAGTGCCCTAAAGTAGAGAACGTTCTGAAATCAATTTTGTACAGGCAAGTAAATAATTAAAACTCAAATTACTAAGCTTTGAATAAATGCCATAAAACTACTCGTCGGGCCCGTGGCTGAGAAAATCAACAACGAACTTATAACTTATTAGGTTATTATATAGTTAGAAATTGTAGTGAGTTAGTTCAAAAAATTAGCGTGTGGTTAAAAATCGAATGTTTCTTTTCAACTGCATTTATTGAAATCTATAGTGTATTGATTACGTACATTTATTTTACGAGAATACAATCCATTCTTCTTCCGAATTTATTTTGAGTAGCGATCTTTGATTACATCATCAGTTTGATTTGGTTTCACAGATTGGTGTTATGCTATAATGATAGAGACTACTTACAAGTTCCTTACCATCAACAAGTTACAAAGTTTTAAGAAATTTATAGTTATAATAAGTTTAGAAATATTGATACGATCTAGTTGGAATTGACAATAATAAACTAATCATTCTAAATATATGCTAAAAGAATGAGATATAAGATATTGTTTCGATTGTCACAACTAAAAATAGCCTAGTTGTAAGAACGTTTACTTATTCTGAAACAAAGTTCGAATAAACTTCGTAAGACTACTCGTCGGGCCCGTCGTTATGGAAATCAATAACGAAACTAAATCTTACTTAGCTATGACTATTCCGGATTCAAAAATTATACTGTGTCTGATGATAAATTTACATATTTAACTTATATGTAACTTATATACATATACAATGAATTTCATTGCACTAAAAGTCATAATCTGAAAATAAAGTTTAATCATCAATTCATATGGTCTAATGCAATATTTTTTTGTTTACAAGACAATTACCATGCCAAGTATAATGATTTACATTTTCAACATTTTAAACCCAACTGATTCTATATATAGAATGTAATTATATTATACTGGTGGTTAAAAAAAAGTATTTACTTATTAATACCAAATGATATTTGTTTATTAAATTCAACTACATATTGGCTTAAAATATATATATATATATATATTGTAACGGGGTAAAACCGGTTAATAAATTATATCGCGCGATTACCTTGAAAAGACACGCGAAATTGTCAATGCTCACTACTATTCCGGGAGAGCACGAGAAAGCAGGCCTCAGTCAACCGATAATCATTGATAACCTATACTAAATTGAGTGGAAGCTATGTGAAATGAGAGAATCAATGAAAACACTTGTTAGTAATGTAGATCGGATCTTTTATTGTCCCTCCAAAATTCACAAAAGGTCGGCCCGCGCGTTTGTTTACGTATACGCTCGCTCGTCGACAACACGCTTTGCCGGTACGCTCGCTGCTCTTTGTTATTAGAGCCGTTACATGCACGCATCGAGAGTTAGTATCAAGTTATTATTTTATGCTCGCGATCGCGAAATTAAGCTGGCCAGCTTACCTTATAATTGCGGGCGATCGGAGAAAATCACAGCAAATCGCACAGCACAGAACAATCGCTTAATGTTTTGTTCGCGGGACGCGAAAGCGCGCACACACTGGTTTCGCCCTCGATGGCGAAACCTCACACACTCTCTCTCTCTCGATCTGGCCTCTGACTCGTAGCTGGGTAGCTCCTTGGCGGCTGCAATCTGGGATCACCAATTACTGCTGTTTTGAAGCGGGTGGATGTCAAGGGCACGTGAATTGTCGATAGCGGTAACGAAAGCGGGCGGACGCTAGGATGATCTAGGCTTCACTAGTTCGATTTCAATCGCGCGCGTTCCGTCTGATCGCGTGCCGAATTCCTTCGTTACGTATTTTGTCCCCCCGGCAGGTGCTGCCCTCACAGGCAGCAATTAAGTTAAATAATCAGCGCTAATTTGACGTTTACCGTCACAATATTTCATCAATTTTTTCATTGAAAAAATGGTAAATATATTGTTGTACGTACCTTTTTATGTTAGTCTGTATTTATAGAAGAAATTAAATATTTTTCTTTGCAATGTTAGGACAATCATACATGCCGTGTCAATCGTCTTGATTTCCATAACGACGGGCCCGACGAGTAGTCTTACGAAGTTTATTCGAACTTTGTTTCAGAATAAGTAAACGTTCTTACAACTAGGCTATTTTTAGTTGTGACAATCGAAACAATATCTTATATCTCATTCTTTTAGCATATATTTAGAATGATTAGTTTATTATTGTCAATTCCAACTAGATCGTATCAATATTTCTAAACTTATTATAACTATAAATTTCTTAAAACTTTGTAACTTGTTGATGGTAAGGAACTTGTAAGTAGTCTCTATCATTATAGCATAACACCAATCTGTGAAACCAAATCAAACTGATGATGTAATCAAAGATCGCTACTCAAAATAAATTCGGAAGAAGAATGGATTGTATTCTCGTAAAATAAATGTACGTAATCAATACACTATAGATTTCAATAAATGCAGTTGAAAAGAAACATTCGATTTTTAACCACACGCTAATTTTTTGAACTAACTCACTACAATTTCTAACTATATAATAACCTAATAAGTTATAAGTTCGTTGTTGATTTTCTCAGCCACGGGCCCGACGAGTAGTTTTATGGCATTTATTCAAAGCTTAGTAATTTGAGTTTTAATTATTTACTTGCCTGTACAAAATTGATTTCAGAACGTTCTCTACTTTAGGGCACTAATCTATTTGAAATCAAGTGCGAGAAAAAATCTACTTGCCTGTATAAAATTGATTTCACAATTTTCTCTAGTTTAAGATTAATGCAGATTCACCTTTCTTGAGTGGATTATTAGGATCGTATTTCGTTCACATACATTTTAGCTTGAAAACAATTTCAGTTTCATAAATGCATGCAGCAAGAATGCTCTTGAATCATGGGATTGACATCCATATTGGACATAGTGAGGAAATAATAGCGATATAAATATTCATTAGAATAAATATTGTTACTAGACACTAGATGTTAATGAGATGCCAATACCTACTCGCCTGCCGGTTTTTTACCTTTCTGGAAAGGTGTGTGGGGTAAGGGCCAAAGGTTGTACTGTATCATTTATATCGCGCCTAATTTTTTTCTTATCTTATTTGTATTTATTTAAATAAAGATCTTGTAAAGTAAAATATATTTTATAATTTATTTTTAAAATATAATAAAAGAGGTCTTACTGTTGACTTTACTGAACATCTTCAAAATATCTTAAGGATGCTTTGACAGACGTTGCTCGGACATCAAAATACCCTGCTAAAACAATGACTTTTAATCAGATTGAAAATTCAATCCGCTTCGAGTTTCTTTCTGAATACTACAAATGATAATTTATATTTATTAAAGTGGAATCGATTTGAATCTTCTTTAATATTTTTCTATCCTGAAATTAGTTATTATATGTAAAATTGATTTAGGGATAAAAAAACATTAAACTGGTTTGAAATTCATTCTACTTTTTAGCTGTTATTTGTAGGATTCAGAAATAAACTCAAATCGAATTGGATTTTCAATCCGGTTGAATGTTTTAGCAGGGTAGGTGGATATTCGATCTACAAGATGTCTAAAAGATATAATTTCTGACGTCTGACAAGACATCTTAAATCTTTCAAGAAATCTAAGACGTCTTTTAGACGTCTTTTTTTTTCATTGTGACCATACCTTCTTTAAGTATATAAGCATCTAGTTTAACCAACATATAAACATGGACAAACTATTACATTGGAACTTATAAACGAATCCGTTTGATGCCATGTTTTTGATAAATCTTTTCCTAATTCTACAATGAAACAATCCTTCTAGTTTTAATTTTTTTTGGGAAATAGTAAGTTAATTTCACTTATTTGTTGTTAACACATAATTGTAAAATTTATTGAAGTAGAAGTACATTACAGTGAGTTATGCTTAGATAAATGGGTTCAACTGTGTGAAACTTTATTATATTGATCCTCTATATATTTTGCAGCAAGCTGTTGAACATGCAAAACACTGTTCTCACATCCATATTTTTTCTCAAAACTTACATATTTTTTAAAAAGTACTTTTATTTTTCTAATGGATATTATTTCATTGATAGCTCGCTCTAATATTTTTCTGTAAGAAAAATAGCTTTTAGATTTGTTTTTAAAACTGTTAGCTAAATATTTACTTTATATTTTTACCTTGCAAGTTCAATCTCACCAAACTTGACTAACGAATCTACATAAGAAGACCATATGTCAATTCTATTTTTATACTTTTCCAATAGTGATTCAAATAAAGTTTTGGAATGTTCTCTGTCACCAAATTTACTTTCTAAAGTAGCAAATTTGACTATTAAACCTATGTCTGCAAAATACCAAGTATTTTTACAAGTTATTATTAAAAAATTAAATTAGGAATTGTAAAAGAGAAATTGAAACACTTACGTTCATGTTTAGGTAGTGATTGCAGAGCCCTTTGCATTATAAGTCTTGATTTATCTTTTAATCCTATTTTCAACATAGCTTCACCACAATTAATCCAGATATCTGAATTTTGCTTGAATTTTGCAACCATCATATTAACAATTTTTTCTATTTCAGCATGATTGCCAGCATTGAGATATAAAGTTATCATGTGCAAACATATCCTTTCAGCATTGGTTGTTTTTAAAGCTTCTTGAAATACCATTTTTATTGATTCCAATGTACCAAATTTTAGTTCTAAATTCAACCAAGCTTTCCAAATGTTTAATTTTTCATTTTCTTCACGTAAACAAATTGTTTTCAAAGCACGTCTAGCTATTGATCTTGCCTTTTCTATTTCTGTTACTTGCAAATAGTATGTCATATACTGCACGTAAACTAATGAATTATTTGGATTTGATAAAACAAGTTTATCAAATTGATGAACTGTTTGAGAACTGTTACAACTTGCAAACTCATATTCATGAACTTCTCTTTTTTTTATTATTTCAATATCCTGCCTTCTAGTGGTGGTTAATTTTTTCTTTTCATTTTTATTTGGAGCTTCAATATCAGTATCACTTGTTCTGTCGATTGTTTGTTCACTTTTCAAATTATTCCAGTCAAATCCACATTCTGAAATAGATAAATTTGAGAAATCTAAAGTTTTATTTTCTTCTAATGAATCTCGCTGTTTTTGAATCTTCTTTTCTGTCTTTTTTTTATAATCTATGGAAATAATTTCATCTTTACTTTGTTCTCCTATATATTTTTTATTCCATTCTTCTTGTTTAACATGTATTTGTTGAACTTCACTTGCAATTTTTTTGTTTTTAACATTATCTTCTATATCAATTTTCTTTTTTTTTTTTAATATTGGACATCTTTCATGATCTACATTTTCTTGTGCTTTACGTTTTCTAGATTCGAGTGAAGGCTTGAAGGACATTTCTATCATGCAATTATGTACTTCAAAAACCGATTTCAATATGCATATTGGTAATAAGATGTCTGCATCATCCTTATTTAAAATCCCGTAACACCTAATCTTACAGCCAATTTGATAAGGTGACAAATCTGGAACAATATCATTTAAATGTCTTCTAACAGGTAAAGTTACTAAAGTGCCTTTACTATGACCTTTTAAAATAACTAGCACAAACCAATTTGTTACTAAAACTATTTCTCCTCTCAATATAACACCTATGGGTATCTTTGCTAATTTATTTTGCTTAATACTAATACTCTTCATAACAGTAGGAAGCAATGATAACTCTATGTATTCATGAGGATAATTTATCCACAGTACTGATCCTTCTACTTGTTCACCATTTTTATAAGTTTCTAAAAAATTATCTTTCCGAACAATACCTTTCATATTTCCTTCTAACTTTAAAACAAGTCCATCACTCATCACTCCTACTATCGTACCTTTGATTCTCTGACCAATGTTCATCTTACATATAGGTTTACTGGTGTAGAAAATATTTTTTGACAACTCCAATGTTTTGTTAAGATATGAACATAAGACATCAACAGCACCCATCGTTTGAACTTCAGGACTTAAATCTTTCCATATTTTGCTAAAATTAGTTGTTAGATTGATTGTTTGGGTTTCTCCAACTGCTTGTACGACTTTAGAAAATATCATTTGATTTTTATACATTGCTTCAATGTTTTCTACATTATTAATGTAAACGGCTTCATATTTATTTAAGTTTTTGATTGGCAACAGTACTTGTATGGATTCTTTATATATGTTAGTGACTGAACATAAAACATTATCTCCTGAAGAAAGGTCACTAATATTGTTGTAAGTTTTTTCAGGTGTAAAAGTTGTACTCACAATTAAATTTGGTTTCATTGAAAATACAATAACAGATAATTTATCACCAGCAACTGTTTTGGCAGCAAGTAACCTACCAACTTCTAAACAAGGGGACATATGACCTGCAGGAAGATAAGCCATAACATTACTATTATACTTTTCAATTCGAAGATGAACACCATCAACTGAAGAATCTGTTACAACACCTTTAACTACATCTCCAATTTCGATATTTATTTTGATATCATTGTTTGAAAGTGCCAATATTATTTTATTTTCAATAGTATTTACATTTTTAATAACAGTGGTGACAGTTTCTCCCAATACCAGGTTCCAATTTTTTAATGTATTTCTGGTATTCAAAAAACGTTTAGGTATCCAACCTTTTACATTATCAAAAAAACGAACAAGAACACCTTGATTACTGATTTTTATAATAGATCCATGATGAATTTCATTAACTTTAGCATCTTCAAACTTACATAAAATTGGCAACTTGCTATGTACTAATGATTTTTTGAGAGTAAATACAATGTTTTCTGATGAGTCTAAAACTCTTGCTTTAATATTATCTCCAATTTTCAGATCATTTCCTGATCCTGAATCAAAAATTTGATCTGGTGGTACTGTTCCAAGTATTTTTCCTGTAACTGATATTCATAGTTTACTTAATTGATTACAAGTGCAATAAATGAATATGACAATATATTTGTATAACAATATGTAATATTTATGAATTTTTGATCTGTTATTATTTGCAACTTTCTTGACAATGAAAAAAATAAAATTAAAAATACTTCTAAAATAATCAGGCTATTTTTAGAGAACTTTGTTGAAAGTTTTCAAAATTATTTATATTTCAGATTGTCAGATAAAGGACAAAATATTATATACTTATGCAGCTATTTCATAAAATTAAGCATAACTTAATTTATACAAAAATTATAATAAAAATTTCAGCCCTTTTAATCATTTTTGTATTAAATTTAAAAATGATATGTAGATAATAAAAATAAAAATTAAATCTTATTACATTATTTGCATTGTCTGAATTCAAAAAATGAGTATTAAAAATAGTCTTGATAGAACTATTATTATTTTTTTAATAAAAAAATATAAAATATTATCAAAATTATTTCTGTATTTCTATAAAACAGTTTTACCCGAAAGTCGCAGTAAAATTAAAGGTCTTTAAGTACTTCATCTTGATAAAATGATTTGTAATCTTAAGATAGAAATTTAATATCCTCACCAGAAGAAGAAACAGTTAGATATCCATTTTCTTTATCAATATGAGTGATAAATACATTTACTACGTTTCCAGTCCGTAAATCACTCAAATTAGTTTTCAATATTTTTTTTTCCATGGAACATATATATAGCTTTGCTATAGAATCGTAACCTATTACTTTACATTTGTGAACAGAATTGAAAGCAAACACTGATTGAAGTTTTTTGAAGTCAATCTCTGTTCGTTTTAAAGGGATATATCCGCGAATTCCTTTCTTTAATTGTACAATGATTCCTTTCGAATCACGTGTTAATGTCTGTGCTTCTATTACATCTCCAAGTAATACTAGTTTATTTTCTTTCTCTTGAGATAATAAAGAAAAATATGCTAATTTTATCATAGGAATAGTGTAAATTAATGTACCAATAAGCTTTTGTCCTTTTTCAAAATGTGATAAAGCTTGTTCTATATAAAATTGATTAACATAACCTATTTCATTTGTACCAAAGCATACTTGTAATCCATTCTTTAAAACTTTTTTAACTATTAAAGTTAATCGTGTTCCTGGAACAAAATTGTCAAATGGTAAACCATTTGATTCAATATGATTTGAATGTCTTAAAGATACCAGAGCATTAAATATTTGGTCGTCTTTTCTTATGTCTTTTATTGAACCTAACACTTGTTTTCCGATGTTAAGTTTTAGTTTATTATCTTCAACATCTCCGGCGGATAAAAAAGCTCTAACATTTTTCAAACCTGTTTCTAAAACGTATCCATGATCTTCAACGCTGCTTATAGTAAAAACCAGTTTTGAATGTTCTGTCAAAAAACTAAGATTTATTTTTTCATTAATCAACTGAGGCTCTACAGACAAAAATACTTTTCTAGTTTGGAAATTTATTCCTTTAACATAACAAATTATATAATCTCCTTGCTTATAAATATGCGACATAGTTTTAAAATCATCTGAAATCATGTTATTATCTGCAATATCTTTTAGCAAGTTAGTATAGCTTTTACATAAATCGGTTGCTTTAAGCTTTCCACTTATTTGTCCAGGTAGTGAAACAATAGCATAGTAATCTGTTATTTTGAATATACGTCCCAGTATGATCATTCCTTCACATAAAGTTGAATATTTTAAATTGTGGGCAACATTCAACAAAACAGTTTCATCTGTTTCTTTACTCTTATTTAAAAATTTTGTTTGCCAGTTTGTTTTTTTCTTTTGTAATTTATTTTTAGTAAATGACTAAAACAAAAGATAATGTACTTTTGATGATACAGTAAATATTTTGTTATTGAATGTTACTACAAATACAACTTACAGTATTAGATGATTTATCCAATTTCTTATCACCACGAGGGAAACTTTTTGAAATCATCTGTAATTTATCAATAATTTTTTTAAATACAGACAATATTATATATATATATATATATATATGCACATACACACACACACATATGTTATGTTTAATCAAGATTAGTATTTGTAATAAAAACTAGATGGCGTTAATTTTAAGTTAGGTGGTAGCGCTGATCTTCTAGAGAAAATGAGAGTAAGTTGAATTTTGAACGTAGAAAAAGAAGGTCGCAAGTCGACGTTAACATTATTAGGCAGTGTGCAGCAAAATTAAAGAATTGTAGTTTAGTTGTACTTTTAACTTATTATATTTATTAAATAAGCATTTAATTTATCTTAGTTTTATAAAAATTTGAATTATTATTTCAACCTTTAAAATTTTGTCTGTTAATTTAAAATATATATATTTTTTGTTTTCAAAAAGAAATAAAAATCAATGTTGTTAATATCATTATAAAAGAATTTCCCTATAAATAATACTCGCATAAATAATAGTTATATAAGATCCCTTGTACCACAATACAGCACATTTAATTAATATATATATATATGAATCTTAGAGTACTGCTTCTTTCTGAACTTGCTTGCAATTTCATTTGGATTAATACAAACTGAGAAATCAGTCTAAACCGATGTAACCATCTCAATTTGCAAAATACAGGATTCTTAATAGCTTTTTGAATAAATGGCTAATAATTTTTTTTAGTTTACATTACGGGGCAGATGTAAACAGAAAAACATACAAATAACTACAATGCCAGCTAAAATCCGACTAATTTCTACTTGATCTATCTATCGGATTTATTAATACACTTTTACGGACAGATTCTGTCATAATGCGTTTACTATTAAAAATAGTACATTACGCTATATGATAGCAAAGTAGGTCCGCCTGTCATATAAACAAGGGTTGCATTCCTACTAAGCTAAAAAAGTATTTCGCATTTCATACACTATAGTACATATTTTAGCCATGATAGTTGTAGTTTTACCCCTTAGACGATGGAAAATGCGATGATACCTATCAGGCGATATTGTCCGAGGACGCAAAAAACGAAACTCCTCAACTTTGGCATTTTTAAAGGTGGCTTCTTTCCATGCACTATTTTCAAGGTTTAAAATATCACTATTATTCATAACTGTTTCGTACAAAGCTACACTTAAAAGAATCAGTCATAGCTAAAATTAAAGAAGTTCTTGGTTAGTTTATAGAAATGTTCTAAAGAAGCTATTGTTATGAAAGTTATTTAATTTTAAAGTATTCATAATAGGCTTTGATTTTCTTTTTGCAAATGTCAATCAAATACGCACCAGAAGTACAGCTAATATATTACTTTATTGAAAAGATATAGCATCCTGCACAATTCTGAGTGGCAGAGTGATAAAAATTTTTTTTGAGGATCTCAGTTTGTTGGTTAGGATCTAAACTTTGAGATGAGTCGAGTAATTTTTTAAAGTTAACATATGAATCTTCAAAAAAGTTTAAAGCTAATTTTATTTATTTGCGAACGGCATTACACATACCATTTTCTTTCGAAATCAGTATGCATATACCTAGCCTAGTTTATGTCTTGTAGTAGTAAAGAACAAACTATTAACACAAAGCCTAAGTGTGCTTCATCAAGGATAAGACCACATTTATTTTTAGTTTGTATTTGTTTTTGGTTTGTAGGATATTATCGTAAGTTCTTTTCTGGGAATGTGCTACAGTTTTTTTCGGGCTTATGTTATTTTTTTTTGTATTTGTTTACAGTGCCTTTCTCGCGTTCGTCGGATTTTGATATTGTCAAAAATGATTGAAAAACAAGATCAACGAATTTGCATCAAATTTTGCTTTCAACTCGGAAAAACGAGTTCGGAAACTATTGAAATGATGCAAAAGGCCTTCGGAAGCGAGTGTATGAGCAAAACACGAATAAAAGAGTGGTATAAACGGTTCAAGGATGGTCGCACTTCTGTCGATAGTGATTCTCGTTCCGGCCGACCTTCGACGACAAAAACCGCAGATAATATTGAGCGGGTGCGATTTGCAATCGAACAAGATCGTCGTATGACTGTGCGAGAACTAGAAGACCTTGGGATACCAAAAACTATCATTTCAGAAATTTTAATCGAAAATTTAGGAATGAAATGCGTGTGTGCGAAATTTATCCCAAAATTGCTCACAGCAGAGCAGAAGAACATTCGCTTAGAAATCGCTCTGGACAATCTGGAAATGGTCAATAATGATGATAATGTGCTTAGAAAAGTTATTACAGGTGATGAATTATAGGTTTATGGTTATGATCCTGAAACAAAACAACAATCTTCACAGTGGAAGCATTCTGAATCGCCAAGACCAAAAAAAGCACGTCAAAGTCGGAGCAATGTTAAATCAATGTTGATTGTTTTTTTCGATTGTGAAGGTGTTATACATCACGAATATGCACCAACAGGTCAGACAATCAATAAAGAATACTACGTTCAAATTTTGAAACGTTTGCGTGATGCAGTAAGAAGAAAACGGCCGCACTTTTGGGAAAGTGGTGACTGGCTTCTTCATCACGATAATGCGCCAGCGCATTCATCCAATCTTGTGCAACAGTTTTTAAGCAAACACAATATCGCATTGCTTCAACAACTTCCATACAGTTCCGATATAGTCCCTTGTAACTTTTGACTGTTTCCAAAACTAAAAAAACCACTCAAAGGACATCGATTCGATGACGAAACAACGGTTGAAAACAATGCGACAAGTGTACTTAAGGCTATCCCTAAAAGTGAGTTCCAGGACTGTTTTGAAAAGTGGAAACATCGATGGAACCGTGTTATTCAATAAGTGGGGATTACTTTGAAGGATGCTACCCACCAGATGATAAAGAATAACGTTAGTACAAAAATATAAAGGTAGGCCCGATACTTTCCGGACAGACCTCGTATATAGTTTAGATTGGTAAAGAAAGGCATGTTGGATGGTTACCCTTATATGAAACTGGGATAGTAATAGGTTGGTAAATATTTTACTGTGTCATTTTCGATCATTTTTCTGTTGAATCTTCTTACATTGACTATCAATAAGTAGATATTGGCGATACTAATTCTAGGTTATTAATGATCTCCTGTTCTATGATATTTGTCGGAATTTGTTTAATTACCTATTTTTTGAAGATACATGAGCTCGGTATAAGGGCATTTGGGTTGTTCTTTTTGAAATATTCTAGTTTGAGAATTGAGTTGGCAACTTTGTGGTTATGTGTAATTATCGCGATTTTATTTCTACTTGATCGGATGAATTCATTGATTGAGTTATTAGTGTATAATGGGGTAATATGTCTAGTAATTTGAATTGGGGTTATGATTGTTTGGTTTAGTTCGTCTTTGTTTATTTACTTTTGTAGGTTGTATAATTATTTTATACGGGGGAGGTATGTTATATGGATATTTTTTTATTTTTGGCAATTCTATTCTTTGTGTCTGTGGGAATTGTGACTCTATTGGTTTAGAGCTTCTTGGGAGCTTCTTAGGGATATTGCGAATAATTTTTTTTTTCTTTTAGGGAGTTTTTCCGGCAATGATGTATTGACTTCGTTTAAATGTCTTTTATTCCTTTGTGACGGGCGAATCGATCATTAGATTCGATCGCCCTGTTCGCCTCTCTCTCTCTTCCGCGTGCCTTCCCCTGAGCCGCTGCCACATCGGTCTTGGTTGAGTAAAACCGAGTATCGACGCACGATGTGGCTTTGTTACAGGTCTGATTCCTGATCGGCGGAGATGCCTGGCGCTGGAGGGATAGGCATAGGCGAAGAGCAGAGGAGGAGAGAGAGAAATAGTGTCGCCGGCATGAGCCGCACATGTGTGCGTAGCCGGCGGCGCTCGGCCGTTGAGTACCTGTAGGGAGGGGGCGCGTAAGAAAGCGCGGAGGCCGCGAGATCGCGGGCAGTATAGTTCTGACCGGCAATTAATTGCCAGCTAGTAGAACTTCGTGACGAAAACGTGTGTTTTGTGCGGTTAAATACTGTTTTGGAGACCATCAGCAAGAGGGAAGATCAGCTACATCGAGAGTCCTGCCTTGCGAAGACTACATCGCTCGCCCAGAGGACGTGGACTTCCACAACAGCGCTCCCTCTCAAGGTCAGGTACCCTTTTTAGTTTATCGGTGCGCGCCTCGATTTCTCTCTCTCCGAGCATCATATAGGCCGGACGCGGACGAGTGGTTAGATGCGTAAATTCGCATCGCCCTCGCGGAATTCGCGGGACGAATTGTAAGGTGACGTTCTGTTTCCTGTGCGTTTACTCGCACGGAGCGAACTTAGCCCGGGCTCGGCCGACGCACACGTCAAGGCCGAATGTATAAAATTGTTATAATAAAGAGAAAAGTATTAGAATTGATGAGTTCATTCTGTTAAACCTGTCTCTCTCTAATTGATTAAATTGCGATTACCGATATTGCCGGACGACATAGCCCTCGTTAAATTTTCGCGACGAAGCGAATGTGCCTTCCGAGCCTTTCCCCCTTAAATAATTTGTGACGCAACGTTGTTCGGGCTTAAATCATTAACGTACGTGTTACATGGCATCCCTTGTGGGGAAATCGCGGAAATCGGGTTTGAGATGATCGCGAGAAAGAGAGACAGGACGCGAAATTCTAAAACAGAAAAGTAATTCGCGTAGACAAAAGAATTTGAAAAGGTCGGTTGACGCCGAGAGGGGAGGTGATCGAACGATCGGCCGAGCTGCGTTGAGCCGCGGCTCGAGCGGTGTTTGTTTACATTCCTCATCTCGGGTTCACAGAGAGCGCCGATCGAGAGAGAGATACGAGGCCGAAAATTGTAGCATAGTTGTGTTGCCGTTGCTATACTCAGGCACGGGCGAGTGAGTCATCGACCTAACGTGTCGAAGGCCACTACTCATCATACCCACGGTATACGGCCAGTAAAAGGACGGATAGACAAGTCCATTTAAGAAGCGGGTGTTGTTAGCGTAGTTAGATACGTATGCGAGATGGCCATTGGGTACTAATCTGTTTAGATCAGCGGATTA